ATTTTTCCCTCGTTTGCATTTTAACACTTATTAACGATGAACATTAGTAAAGGAAAAACTGGTGCAATGCTTACAGAAAGTAGTAAATTGTGCCCCTTTGGTTTGGACTTAGAAAATTTTATTGTCTTCAGAAATTGGAGTAAAAAAATTTTCTTGTGGATATGTTGGCAGAATGGAACAAATCGCAGAATTAACTAAGGTGCTACAAGTCACTTTACAGCAACAAGGTTTGAAAAGTTATTCAAACAGGCAAAAGACAATAAATCACTTTGGGAAAACATTATCTAGGACAACAAAAGAACCGGGTTCTAGATTTTTTTTCTGCTGAAGGAATTTCAAATTGACTATCTGAATTTAAATATGACCCTGACAGTGGTTCAACGTTTTCGGCTTATTTTCAAAGGTTTGAAACAATATTTATGAAAAGATGCGAACAATGGTCTGATGAGGAAAAAAATCGCTATCGTTGCAGAAGTTGGGAACAGAAGAAAATGCAAAATACACAAATTTAATCCTCCCAAAGAAACCAGAAGAAATTACATTCGGCGAAACAGTAGAAATTTTGTCAAATTTTCAATAAGAGATCGTCTTTCATACACGATACAAATGTCTAAATATCGTAAAACAAGATGATTTTATCACATATGCAGGTATGGTTAACGCACAGTGTGGGGCGTTTAAATTAAAGGAATTGTCACGCAACATGTTCAAGTGTCTAATTTTTGTGCAGGGTCTAATGACACTGAAGGACAAAGTCAGAATTCTTGATCTAATTTCTATCATGGAACAGGATCCAAAGATTATGCTACAAAAAATAACTGAAGAATGTCAGCAACTTATAAACATAAAAAAAGATGATACTGGGATTGAGAAGAGCATTTCATGAGTACAAACTGTAAGACAACAGAAGTGGCTACAAAATAAAGAAAAATTATATGCAGTTCATGTGGAGGACAGCATATGAAGGATTTTCTTTAGGGATAAAATGTTTTAATTGTGGGCGTGTAGGCCATAGAAGTTCCCATTGTCAGGCAAAACAAAAGTAAAATCAGTCTCAAACAAAGGTGAACGTAGTTTTGTCTAAAAACGAAATTGAGAAGGGTCAAAGAAGAAAATACCTCAAGGTAAAAAATAAATGTGCAGACCGTGAAATTATTACTCGATTCATTAAGTGATATCTTGGTAATGAACAAGTAAAGATGGAAAAAAAATGGTTACCTGCTGTTGGCAAACACAGACAAAATTGCCAGGGGAGTGTCAGGAAAAAGACTTAAGTTTAGAGGTGAATTAAAATGTAACATTGCATTCATGGGAAAAATTCACAAATCAAAAGTATGTGCTCCCTGGTTCAGTAAACCTTTTTGGTTTAGACTGGATTGTATTGTTTAATTTATGGGAATTACCAGTAAATTCTTTCTGTAACAAAGTTAACGTCATAAAGAACTATAGGACGAAGCAAACGGAAAGATTTATTACGGATTTGAAAGGCAAATTCCTTCATGTGTTTTCAGGACTCTGTGCACAAAAACAGAAGTCACCTTTGAATTGAAAGAAAATGTTAAACCAATCTTTAAACCAAAGAGAAAAGTGCCATTTTCAGCAGTAGACACAATAAATGAGGAATTAGAAAGGTTGGAGAAAACTGGCGTGATTTCAAAAGTCAGTTACTCGGATTGGGCATCTCCAACTGTATATATAAAAAAGAAAAACCGAAAAATCAGTGTGCTGATTTTTCAACAGGCTTAAAATGACTTTGTGAAAGAGCATGCGTACCCTCTACTGTCTCCATAGGTTATATTCACTAAATTAAACTGAGGTAGTGTTTTCAAAGTTGGACTTGTCGGAGGCTTACCTTCAGGTTAAAGTCAGTGAAGAATGTTCAAAGTACCTGACAATAAACATGCATAAAGGGATTTTTAAATTAATCGTCTTCCTTTTGGATTGAAGGTAGTTCCAAGCCTATTCCAGCAAATAATGGACACAATTTTGGCTGGTATGCAATCACATATTTAGATATTTTGATTAAAAGTGAAAATGAGGCCCAACACAAAATGCATATTAGAGCGGTATTTCAGAGAATTGAGGAATACGGGTTCAAGCTGAGTGCTGAAAAATGCGAGTTCTTCTTAAAGAAGATAAAATATTTAAGGCAGATCATTGACAGTAAAGGAAGAAAACCAGATCCAGAAAGGGCTGAGTCTATAAAAAATATGCCAGCACCTGATAATGTGGCTAAACTCCAGGCCTTCTTGGGATTAGTAAGTTACTATAGCATTTATATCCCAAAAATGTATATGAGAACCCCTTTTAAATAATTTGGTGAAAAAGAGCGCAAAGTGGATATGGTCGAAAGAATGCGAACAGGCTTTTAAAAAAAAAAATAAAAAGCTGTCCATTAGCAGACCTATTATTAGCGCATTTCGATCCGAAGAGGAAAATCATTGTAGCAGATGCCAGTAATGAGGGACTAGGTGCAGTATTGCTGCATAAATTTGAGAACAGATCTACAAAGCCAATAGCACATGCCTTGAGATTGTTACTGCCCACAGAACAAAGTTACAGTCAAATTGTAAAAGAGTTTAGCAATAATGTACGCTGTAAAAAAAAAATTTCAGTTTTCTATATGGAAGAGAATTTATTCTGCAAACGGACCACAAACCGCTGTTAACAATATTTGGTTCAAAAAAAGGTATACCAACTCGCATGGCAAATCAACTACGGCGTTGAGATGTAAGTCTATTCAGTTATAATTTCAAAATAGAATGTGCCTTCAAAGAAGCTAGGTTACACCAATGGTTTATCAAGATTGATAACTAAATATACGGAACCACTGGAAGAAACAGTTATAGCAATGCTAAGAGACGAAAGTGCATTGTCAGGTCTGTTATGCAACACTATTAGAGAACTACCAGTTACGCTAGAAGATGTGTAAAAAAAAAAAAAGTAGCAGTGAACAATGATTTCATTAAAAAAAATGAAAAAGCAAGTCTGGGTGAACAAAACAACTAAAAAAGGAATTAGTGTGTCACCTTTTTTCAATCTGCGAACAGCTATATTACTATATGCAGATAGTTGTAATGCCGGTTACTCTGCAAAAGAAAATTCTGAAAGAATTTCACACTTGCCATCCAGGGATTTCGAGAATGAAATCTCTGAGAGGCTATACTTATTGGCCGAGGATGAACCAAGACATAGAAAATTTTAAACCGTGCAGAGGATGCCAACTAGCAGCAAGGGATCCACCTATAAAGATTCAACCATGGCCAAAGACAGATGTCCCATAGACTCAATTGCATATCGACTATGCAGGGCTGATAAATGGATCTTATTACCTGATCATTGTGCACGTTTCACTAAGTGGCCAGAAGTTAAGTGCAGACATCCGACTGCAACAAATGCAATAAACGCACTTAATGAAATTTTTAGTCACTTTGGACTCCCTAAAACTTTAGTCAGCAACAACGGAATGCAGTTTACGGGAAGAGAATTCAAGGAATTCTGTAGATCATTGTCCATTGATCATGTGACAATGCCAGTATATCATCCAAGATCGAATGGACAGGCGGAAACATTCATGGACACCTTTTAAACGAGTGTTGAAGAAAAACAAAGGCGTGAACACGAATGAAAGAAATATTCAGAAATTTTTGGCAGTATATAGAATCATGCCAAGCCCGAATATGATGTCAAGATTATTACCAGCAGTTAATGATTGCGAGAAAAATATGCCCTGTCTTCGACAGGCTGTTGCCTAGTCTGAAGAAAACTGCTAAAAAAGAAAACCAGATGACTAAAGTGTATAAGCCAGATGACAGTTTTTTTTCAAGAACTTTAGGGCTGGAAAAATGTATTGGGAAAAAGGAATGATAAACAAAAGAATTGGACAGGTTATATATGACATAAAAGGGGAAAAATTTTGGTGCAAAAGACATTGGAATCAATTGAGACCCAGACACCCTACAGAGGTCACGGAAAATACCGAAGAGATTCCAATGGAAGTCCTGTATGATACATTTGAAATTCCCATTCCAGTAAGTCAACATTTGCCAATGGAGGTATCCCCAACCTCAAGGCCAGAGGTACCAGTGTGTCAAATGCCACCACTGCAAGGAGGATTGAGGCAAAAAAGACTTAGGAAAAAATCAATCAAGTCCAGACCCTAAAAAGAGAAAATATTGAAGCTAAATTTCACAGGAAAATTTAGCTCAGGAGGAGGTGATGTAATGAATATGCATACACCTGGGTTCCCCCTCACAGTAATATGATTGGCTGGTGTCAGCCATAAATACAGACTGATGTGGAGGTACATGTCTACGCCTATTGCCTACATCTATTGCCTACCACTACGACGAGGACCAGTCCATTACAGTTACCTGCTAGATTGTCCTACTTGGTTACAGTAGTTAACAACCACTTTGCTACATTGAACAAATATATCCCTTTTCGGGATATATAAATTTCCACAAGCAATTTTTGTTGAAACAAAACTAAAAATTCAGAATTTTGTATGTTACTTTTAAAATTAAGCAAGCATTTAAAGAACTAACACAGCCCAATGTTACTTTCCTTCCATACAGTCCTGAACTAAGCTTATGATGGAAAATTCTAGGCTCTTTTGAGGTGAATGTTCAGAATCCCCTTTTGTTTTTGTTTTTTTTGTTTTTTTTAAGAAAATTTATTCTTGAACAATGTGAGGACTTATCATCACCCATTTGCCTAAATGAAGCACCTATCAAAATGTAATTGTTAATGTGTTCCTCTTACAAACCACTCTTTGAATTTATTCCTCATTAAATGGTACCCTACAAAAGATGTACAATGTTGATAGCAAGCTGAATCTTGAAATTTTCACTGCATAAAGTTTTGGCTATCTAGTTGATAGACATGTTGAATTAAGGACATTGACAAGTTTGCTCAAAAATATTTATTTGACTAAAAACTTATTAACTTGTGTACATTAATTCAGAAAATAAATGTGAATGTTGTTTTGTGCATTACAGGAGCTGACCGTTTTTACACTGATATAACAATGATGATTGGGTACACACCATGCTTGTGGTGGAAGATTTGTTGGCGATTTATTACCCCATCCATAACATTGGTAAGCTTTTTCTTTTATTTTTTTTTTTGTTTGGAATTTTCTGATAAGAATGATTGAATATATTCCTTGTGATTTCCCTGTCCTGGGCATGAAGTTAAACTGTATCCACATCTTGGGCACAAAGCTAAATGGCAGCAATCATGGGTTTGTTGGTTTTTTTTGGTTTTTGGGGTTTTTTTTTTCACAAAACAAGTTCACCTATGTTCTGGGTAGGACATTAAGCTACTACCAGGCATAGTACAGGAAGGAAGATAGATTAGAAACTAATTATTTGTATGAGGAAAACTTCACCTACATGCCATCAGTTTATATAAGCTTACAACCTATCTGTTTATACCTAGGATGGTACCTTCAGGAAAAATAAGTTTTTCCATACAAACAATCTATTGAAAAAAAAACCACCTTTTTAAAGTACCAACAAAAATCATAATCTACAAATTATTTGTTTGCCTAAACTACCTGTTTATACAAAAATACCTATAAAATTGCAATATGTAAGGCAAAACTTTACTAAAACCAATTCCTAAAAACTAGACCATCCCCTGGTAATGAGGGCATCTGTTTGCCATGAGTGGCGACCTGTGACACCCAGAGATGGAGTCCTGGTGACTGAGTGACTCCTGACCTGGTATAAAATGGCCAGGGGTTTCCACAACATGCCACTTGAGTCCCAATGTGGGATAGACACAAGAAAATTAACACTTGTAATTCAAGTAAAACCAAAAAACACAGAAAATATACTAAAAATCTATCAAATGAATGACATAGTAAAGTAAAGGTTTACCACACCAATTTCTTAAACTGCATCCACATCCTAGGCATGAAGCTAAACTACAATCATAGGTTTTTTCACAAAACAATTTCACCTATGTTCTGGGTAGGACATTAAACTATTACCAGGCATAGCATAAGAAGCAAGATTGATTAGAAACTAATTATTTGTATGAGGAAAACTTTGCCTATATGCCATCAGCTTATATGATAAGCCTACAACCTATCAGTTTATACCCTGAATGGTGCCTTCAGAAAAAATATAGTTTCTCCATACAATCTATTGAAGGAAAAAAAAAAAAACTTCAAACTACCAACAAAAATCATAATCCACAAACTATCTGTTTACACATAATGCTATGTCTAAAACTACCTGTTCATACCAAAATACCTATAAAATTGCAATATATAAAGCATGCATTTATAAAAGGTGATTCCTAAAAACTACAAAATCCCTCTCAATGGACCCATACTATACTTGGGTAGATATGCTGGGGGAATACGGGTACTTGTAGTTACTTTCAGCATGACTATACTGTCTGTGTAGCCTTGGTGCATCAGGGTGAATGCGATTAGTCCCCCTGATAGCATACCTTAGGAAGGAACTCCAAGGTGGGTGGAGAGCACAGACTGTGAATACAAAAACAAAATTATATGAATAACTCTCTTATAAATGATCCAAGAGACAGTATGAAAACAAAAAGCAACAATGAAATATTGGGGGATGGGGAATTTCCAATTTTCATAGTCATAGAAGGGTGAAATAACAAAAGTGTCACCTTTTGTTTTACAAAAGGTTATATCAGCTATGATAGAACCAAAATCAGTAAGAAAAAAATAACACTTCTAATTCAAGTAAAAAAAACAAAAAAAATACAGAAAACATAAAAATCAATCAAATAAACAATGTGAAAGTGAAGAATTATCCCTACCAATTTCTTAACTTTCACAAGATAAGCAGAAATATGGATTCTTATAATTAGTCCTCAGCTCTGCCACCTGAGCTATTACGAGATGCCAAATATATGGATTACACACAAATTATGTGCAAATTTATACTATTCTAGCATAATTAGTGTCGTTGCATGCAATATTCTTAGAATTAGTTCACTCTTTTTCTTCCTTTTTTTGGCATCTAAGACTTTAAATTTGACATCAGATAAACTGAAGCCTTTCCCTTTTATGTATGCTTTTTCTTACTCAAACCAGACAGGATCTTTATAACTCTCTTCCCTCTTCCTCCCCTGTTCTTCTTCCTCCCTCCTCTCCTTCTTCCCTCCCCTCTCCTTCTTCCCTCCCCTCCTTCTTCCCTCCTCTCCTTCTTCCCTCCTCTCCTTCTTCCCTCCTCTCCTCCCCTCCTCTCCTTCTTCCCTCCTCTCCTTCTTCCCTCCCCTCCTTCTTCCCCTCTCCCCTTCCTTCTTCCCTCCCTGTCCTTCCCTCCTCTCCCCTGTCCTTCTTCCCCTCCTTCTCTTTCCCCTTCTTCCTTTCCCCTCTCCTTCTCTTTCCCCCCCTTCTCTTTCCCCTCTCCTTCTCTTTCCTTCTTCTTCTCCCCTCTCCTTCTTTTCCCCTCTCCTTCTCTTTCCCCTCTCCTTCTCTTTCCCCTCTCCCTTCTCTTTCCCCTCTCCTTCTCTTTCCCCCTCTCCTTCTCTCCCCCTCTCCTTCCCTCTTCCCTCTCCTTCTTCTTCCCCCCTGTCCTTCTTCTCTTTCCCCTCTCCTTCTCTTTCCCTCTCCTTCTCTTTCCCCTCTCCTTCTCTTCCCCTCCCTTCTCTTTCCCCTCTCCTTCTCTTTCCCCTCTCCTTCTTCTTTCCCCTCTCCTTCTCTTTCCCCTCCTTCTCTTTCCCCTCTCCTTCTCTTTCCCCTCTCCTTCTCTTTCCCCTCTCCTTCTCTTTCCCCTCTCCTTCTCTTTCCCCTCTCCTTCTCTTTCCCCTCTCCTTCTCTTTCCCCTCCTTCTCTTTCCCCTCTCCTTCTCTTTTTCCTCTCCTTCTCTTTCCCTCTCCTTCTCTTTCCCCTCTCCTTCTCTTTCCCCTCTCCTTCTCTTTCCCCTCTCCTTCTCTTTCCCCTCTCCTTCTCTTTCCCCTCTCCTTCTCTTTCCCCTCTCCTTCTCTTTCCCCTCTTTCCTGTAATGGATTGAAATTAATGTATATTGACATTTTCTTTTTTGACAGATTGTGTGGCTGTTTAGCATCAGTAAACTAAAACCAGTCACTTATGGTACTTATGAATATCCCACTTGGTCTGTTGTATTTGGCTGGGTCCTTGGAATGTTCTCTTTGGTGCCACTCCCCATTATGGTAATTGTTCAACTGTTCAAAACTAAAGGAACCTTCATTGAGGTAATTAATTCTTCTCTCTCTCTATCTATCTATCTATATATATATATATATATATATATATATATATATATATATATATATATATAAATAAACGGATTGACAAAAAATGTTAAATGTTTATTAGTCTGTTTATTTGTAAGAACAGTTTAATAATTTTTGTAATTCTTGAGAAAAAAAGAATGCTTAAATCTAGTTCATATGTTTGGAAAAGAACAAGAGAAGTCCTTTCAGAAGGATTGAAATACTTCACAGCATTAATGCTGTGAGTACATTCTACCAAGGTCAAGTGACCAGTGTTTCAAATTTCTTCCCAGACCATAACTGCAAACCCACCATGTTTGGCAGTTAGTAGCAGAGGTAGTTTTTAGAAAAATATTGGCAGGTCTTCCTTCAGACTTAGATTTGTTCACTGGCAGAGAATTATGCAAAGGCGGATTTGACAAAGAAATTTACTTTTCCAAAAGTTTGGATTTATACAATTCAAACTGTTTTTATCAGGGTTATTATTGTTTATTTAGATCTTCTGTACTATGTGATTTTTCCACCATTTGTTAATATGTATTTTTATTATTTATTTCTTAATAAGCTACTGGACCCAAATTTAAGTAAATCTTAAGTACCTCCACAACTGATGTGATTGTGGCTTAAGCAACTACAGAAAACATTACAAAATAAAAACGTAAAATTAAATAAATTACTAAATACATTTTATACTGTATTCAAGAAATCTCCCAGTTAGATTAAAATGTCTTTTCTATTTTTGCATGAAAAATTTAAACAGCCTGAACACTGGTCAAAATCCTAAGTTGCTTATTAAAAAGAAAAACTGTATATAGATTAATTCAATTGAATTGCACTAATGCCATTTATAAGAAAAAAAATCTTGCTCTTATGTTCCTACTGTCATGCTTTACTGTATGGTGTTTCTTTAGACTGTAAACCCCAAAACCTTTATATACATAAAGTTGTCCTGTAAACATTAATGTGACAATTTTCTAACAAAATAAGTGATAAAACCTGGGTCAGTTTTTTTTTTTTTTTTTGGGGGGTTATTGAAGGATTTTTTTGTCTTAACTTTACTCTTCCTAATTCATATTTTTTTATTCACTTATTTCTCTACTTACTCTCTTTCTCTCTTTCTTTCTCTCTCTCTCTTACTTCTCTCTTCTCTCTTTCTCTCTCTCTACTCTCTCTTTCTCTACTTACTCTCTCTTTCTCTACTTACTCTCTCTTTCTCTACTTACTCTCTCTCTCTCTACTTACTCTCTCTCTCTCTACTTACTCTCTCTCTCTCTCTCTCCCCTCTCTCTCTCTCTGCTCTATCTCTCTCTCTGCCTCTCTCTCTCTCTACTTTTCTCTCTCTCTACCTACTCTCTCTCTCCCTCTTTTCTCTCCTACTCTCTCTCTCTCTCTCTCTCTCTCTCTCTCTCTCTCTCTCTCTCTCTCTACCTACCTTCTCTCTCTCTCTCTCTACCTACCTACTCTCTCTCTCTCTCTCTCTCTCTCTCTACCTACCTACCTACCTACACAACTGTTATAACATTATTTTTGACCAAAAATAATTTTTTTTTCTCTCTCTCTCTCTCTCTCTCTCTCTCTCTCTCTCTCTCTCTCTCTCTCTCTCTCTCTCTCTATCAAGTATAGACAAAATATTTAATATCCTTGAATATAATATTTCACTGAACTTTATTCTCTATATGTGGTGTGAAAGTTCAAATCATTTCCTTATTAAAGAAAAGTAATTTTATCAGGTTAGATAAAAAGTAATCTCCCTTTAAGCGTAAAGTACTTATAAAACAGGGATTTTCAACAAAGGGCTTTTTTTTTTTTTTCTTAAGCATTTCACCCCAAGCAAGGCGGGAAGCCACTAGGACGCAAGGGGTTACAGAAAATTTAAAGCAAGATCAGATGGGAGTGATAGAAGAAAGGATGAGGGTAGTGGATAGATAAAGGCAACTGGAGATGTTGATTGACATTACACTTGAATAGCTGGAGATTATAGCTCACAGGGAAACAGAAATAGGGAAGGGAGTTCCACAGGCGAGAGGTGCGAGACATGAAGCTATTAGAGTAGATGAGACGGCTACATTTAGGAGTTTCGACAGTGAAGGGGTGAGAGCGGGATGCCAGCCTCGTAAGTCGCTGGAACTCATGACATCTGGGAACCAGCGAATGCAGCTCCTCGGAGCAATTATTTGTAGAACAGACAGAGGGAGGTAATGGTGCGTCTGTGAGAAAGTGACTGTAGACGAGACGCCAGAATAAATTCAATTTAAATACCTTGACTTTTTATTGAGTTTTTGTTTGTTATACCTTATGCCAATACTCACTCTGTTGGACTTTTTGTTTATTGAAATATGCGTCAGTTTAATTATTTAATGAATTAAAACAAATTATTGTACATGTATTCATGTTTAAAAATCCACTTTCTATTGCTATTTGTAAAACTCCCTTATAAAAATATTCTATGTACTAATATAGAAAAAAAGATGAAAATTTTCAATAATACACGTGCATTATTTGGGATGCACTTTTTGAGTAGTCAATCTTGGAAAGTTGGGAATGGCATTCTGACCTATCATGAAAAGGTTGCTTTGAGGTTTTTTTTGTTTTTTTTTTGAAACAAGCAAACTGATGTCTGTAAGATGGCAATATACCTTTTCCATATTTTCATGGCATTTGTTTTGATGAGCTTTTTTCCTTTTTGGTACCTTGACTTCATGAATTTAAGTACAGTACTAAATTGGCAGCTAGGTCTCAACATTTGTACTGTTGAAATTGCTAAATGTAATCATAAGTTCTATTGTAATAGTTTATTTTCTTGCACTTTTAAACTGCAGAACTTTCTTTCAGCTTCTTGCCTTCCTGCCACAACAATCTACAAAGAATTAAATGCAACATTATCTTCTGTTTACTTAAATCCTGTTTTTTATTACCTTCTTTCTCTTTAGTAGTATTTTCTTAGTTTCTCTTCCTCAGTAACTTTTTGGGTTTACCTTGCTTGAAGTGAAATGATATACACATTTTATGAGATTGTTTTTTTTTTTTTTTTTATCCTTTCATCTTGAGCAAGGCAATAAAACCACTAAGACACAACAGGTTACTGAGTGTTAAACAAAAATATTAAATCAAGAAGGCAGATAACAATTGACATTGCATTTAAATTTCTGATTATCAAAGTTGGCTAGAAAGCAAGAAGCTGGAAGAGAGTTCCACAGATAAAGTTACGCACTTAAATTCATAAAGTCTAGAAGGAAAGTTCATCAGAAAAATTACCATGAAAAAATTTATAGAAAAGGCACAAAGTTAGGTTATGGTGATAGGAAAGTGGAGGCACTGTGGAGTAATGGATAGCGGCTTGGATTGAGGAATCTGAGAGCTGAGTTCAAATTCCAGTCAAATCCATTACATTCATTTATGTGCTAATTTCCTTGGGAGAGATATGAATCCTATTCTCCCCCCAGCTATGGGTAAATAGCAGGACAGACCAGGTTCTATAGCCTTAGATGGCAAATGTTTCGAAAGATACATGATTGCCTAAGTGTGTATCATTCATGGCACGTAACTGACGTAGACTTACAGGGTGTGATGGATAAATTATCTTCTAAATTATGTGAAAATGAAAATAACACTAACATCTCATTTTAACATATATTTACCAAAATTACACAAAAATATCTTGAAATACTAAAGAGTAAATTCAATAAGATTGCCATTGGCTTCAATCATGGCATCCAGATGACTTCGGAATCCATGACTGGGTTCTCCTGCTTGTGTGCGCCCACTTGACCCTTGATGTAGGTATCCGTGTTGAGTCTGTCACCCTGTGGGAAGATGAATGAAGGGATAACATTGCCATCACTAGTGGTCACTCCAAGCACTTTCATAATCACCATTTGACTCCTCTAACTCTTTGAATCCTCTGCACTGTCCTCAGGCTGACACCAAAATACTCTGAAATGTTTGTATTTGAACTTCTGGTGCAAAATGCCAAGCACTATAGCATGCCATTTCCATATTTCTTGCTGAGTGAATTTCATTATGGTGTTCTTTTTCTCAGACGGTGCCCAACTGACCCTACTATACTGTGCAGTAAACAAAATAAAAAAAACAATATGCATGTGCAAAATTTAAAATATAAAATGGTGACAATTTACACATTGTGTCCTGTATAAATATGTAAAATAGCTTCTGGTAAGAAAAATTGTCTAGTACAGGGAACCAACTCAGTTTTATAATTATGGATTATTGAATTTACAAATTTTTTGTTCTCTTCTATATTTTAGGGAGAATTTTTTGATATTAACTGACATTATTAGCACTGATTTTATGATGAAAGATTTTTTTTTCTTAATGTATGAGAATGTATATACATTGATAAATTTTCCATTTTATTTCAGCGAATGAAAAAACTGATTCACCCTGACCCTGAATGGGGTCCTGCTCTGCCCCAATTCAGAGACAAGTACATCGCTACCCTGAGCCCAAGTGAAAGCCAATGTATCCAACATGTAGTTAGTATAGATCAAAGAATTGGGTCCAATGAGTTGTCAGTAACTGTTGAAGAGAGATCAAAAATGCTCCAACAATCATTGGATTCTGCATTTTGATCCAAGGCTAATGATTTGGAATTGCGAAAGTAGAAGAAATGTCAATTTCTTTGCATATACCATGGAAAAATAACATAAGCTCTTATCTTCAACATTTGAAGAAAAAAGTTTTTGTACCTCCTGTATCGATACAATTAAATCATTCTTGCCTGTATTTCAGTTTCAGTTAACATCCCACCCACCCTGCTTTGCTCAGTGAGCACCCTCTCTTATTGTCTCTTCACCTTCTCTCTTTTTGTTTTGATTATCCTTCTTCATTAAGAATAATCATGTAACATATAAACATTGAGTGATACTGCATATTTAACAGTAGTATAGATTAGGTTGATTTTCAAACCAACCTGAAATACCAGTAAGGTGGACATTTTAGGTCAGCATTGCCAAATGTCAACCTTTTAATTGGATATCTTCCCTCCCTCCCTTCCTTTTTTTTTTTTTCTTATCCTTTTCATTTTTTTCATTTTTTTATTTTTTTTTTCATAACTTTTAATTACTTCATTAATATTGAAAATTGTTAGAATTTAAAATCAAACTATCACACATATCACTTTCTCATTAACCAAGTTTCATTAACATGTTTAAACATAATTTCATTTAAGTGAACAAATCTTTTTAGTACTGACAAGTTTGTCTGCACCCTAGACACAAAAAATATTGCAATTAAAATTTTTATTGCCAAACTCAAGTTTGTTTGGATTAAGCATTCAGATAGTAGTTGAAAATTTCAGTGCTTCCTTCCATTTCACAAGTAAAATTTGTCTGTCATTCAGTCTATTAATAATTATATAAATACAGCAATTAGGATAAAAAATATTTTCTCTACAAAGACTTCTTTTTTTTTTTTTTTTTTTTTTTTTTCTGAAATTACTATATGAAATAATCACTCATTTTCATATTTTTCACTGAAGTCTAAAATTTATTTCAGTAAAATTAAATTTGATTCAACTTGCAATATGAAGAAATTGTTTATCTACTCATATTCTCATAAATACAAAAATTAGCATACATGTACATACACACACTAATCAAAATATTTTTCATCAACACACTTTTTTAACCACTCTTGGAGTTTTTATGTTTGCATGTCTAAAGTCTTAAAAGCCAAGATAAAGATAACATCAGAAAATAATTTGATTTTTTTTTTTTAAAAAAAAAAAAAAAAAAAAAAAAAATTACTTTTCCTTTTGAAAATGTAATATGAATTTCTAAGGATACTAAAAATGACTTCTATTTGTTGAAGTCTCACCTAAGACGGCATTTCCCTCTCAGCTATGCAAAGATGATTACTAGATAACATTAGAACAGTGGTGGACTGAGTCTAAAAAATATTGATTGCCAGGAGGTAAATGGGGTCCACTCATTACTACAATCCTATCATTTAATTTTCATAAGGAATAAATAAACTCTTAAAAATACATATAAAACAGCATGATAAAAATTTTTGTAGAAAAAATGTATTAGTAATTACAGTGTACATGTACTGTACCTATTACTGGTTGTAGATACCAAATGTAAATGAAGAATGTTAAATTTTTTTTTTTAGTTTTAAATAATTGGTTGATATTTTTAAATAGTTTACTGCACAATTTACACATTAACAGATGGGGCCATTGCATGCAATCCACTATATTAAGAGCATTAAGTTCACTAAATGATTTGTTCAAATTTGCCAATAATTGTTTCTGCATCTAATTCATCTAACAATTCCTTTTCAGTGGATAGCAACATGTATGATTCCAAATTCTCCTCAGGCAGCAAATTTCTTAGCCTTGTCTTTATGGTCTTCAGCTTTGAACATGTCTTCTCGCATTGGACTTGAGTAACTGATAGCGTGCAGATGACTTTAGAAAATTCTTATTCCTTTTTATTACTAAAAAAAAAAAAGTTTCATTGCATTTTTATTTAATATAGTGGGCCCACTTGCCATCAGGCAAGCTGACACCTTGGCCTGT